TCTCTCTCTCTCTCTCTCTCTCTCTCTATCGGAAGTGGTAAGCTTGGGTGAAAAGAAGAAGAAGAAGAAGAAGAAGAAGAAGAAGAAGAAGAAGAAGAAAGGAAGACGAAGACGAAGACGAAGAAGAAGAAGAAGAAGAAGAAGGAAGGAAGAAGAAGAAGAAGAGAATGGGCACTTACCTCCGCCGCGGGTGCTGCTGGCCACGGACGGCGACGGCGACGGCGACGCGCGACGGGAGCTGCTGGCGACGGCCATGGGCGACGACGAAGACGAGGAGGAAGGCGCCGGGAGCTGCCACGGGCGACGACGACAAGGAGGAGGCGACGACGGGAGCTGCCACGGGCGACGACGGCGATAGGCAACTCGAGACGGCGACGGGCAACTCAAAGTGGCGGAGGGACAGCACTCTCTCTCTCTCTGAAAGGCGGGAAACCGAGGAGGACCGCCCTCCCTCCAACTTTCAAAACAGCGGCCTCATCTGGGCCGCCGATCTGCCTCGATCAGCGGTCCGGAGAGGCCGCTGTTTTGGATGCCCATAGGCGGGCCTGTGCTACCCGGTTCGAATTTGTTTTGGGCCAGGAGGCCCCCACAACCCGTGTGGGGGCCTCTTGGCCCAGAAAAAAATTGTTTCAGCCTTTTTCCTATAATGTGCTGCGTGCCGCTGCGGGGCGACCGAACCGGTCGACCAGCCGGTCCCACCGGCCCGGTTCTGGTTGGGGGTGGACCCCCCGGTCGGACCGGGTATTTAGCACTGGTTCTTATCAATTCTAATTGAGGTTTTGTGCTTCCACATCTTCAAACCAGTTTGGTGTGGATTCGCTTCTCCAAGTCTTTTCTTTGTCATTGCCCATGTGTACGGGAGCATGTGGATTCTTTGCTGGATACTGTTTCAATCTGTCACATAACAGTTGCTATCGGGGTCGCAACCGGGTGTGATATCTGCAAGCTAGTTGTTCGTCATCTTCTCCTAGGAGGCCGCTGGAGGTGGGGAGCAGGTGCGCTGCTGTCTTCAGCAAAAGCATCTGGAGGAGGTGTTAGGTGTGTGCGGGGGAGGAAGAAGTGAAGTTCAGTGGAGTGTGGTGCAGAACCTTTTGTGAAAGGAAGCTGAGTAGGCGTTGGCCGACCCCGACCGGCGACCGTTTTGCAGCCGACCGTTTTGTTCAATCCAGATAAAGAGTGATTCTGCTTCTTCATGAGATTCTGCACCTAGGAGACGAGTCTTGAAGGATTGTAATGGGTGAATCACGTGGGAGATTGATTTGAAGCTGCAGGAGAGATTCTGGTTGGACGCTACCTATCTGAGGTCAGCCAGGCCTTGGAGGTCACTTTTCTGGAAGGTGCTGTTGTTTTTTGCAACGATCTGATGGGCGCTTCAGTTTTCTGATTGGCATTGCTGGGATTTTGCAAGAACCTGGCAGGCACTGCATTTCCAATCAAGGTTTATGTCGTGAGTTCGTTTCTATGTGGTTTCCATCTTGTAGACTAGGGTTCTGATGAACCCTGGGTCTAGAGTTAGGCTTTCAGACTGCATTAAAAGGGCCTTTACGAGTCAGATCCCTAAAGAGACCCCAACACAAAAGGGACCCTGTCGGCCAAAACTTAATTTCACGAGCAGCATTCCAAAAGACAAGTTCCCTGAGGCAAATGTTGCATCCAAGTGAGATGAAAAGTCGTTTTGAAAAGTCACAGTCAGGTCCTAGACGAACAGGTACTGAGTTCAATTTTAAGACCGAGACAGGCTTATATCTGCTCGGCAGTAAGTCAAAGGTCAGTCCCAAACGAGTCACAGTCCCAAAGGTCAAATCTGATTCAGACCAGGAGTCCAAAAAAAAGGCCCGTCGGCCAAAGCAGCAGCAGACCATGGGAAAGGATACTGGGACACACACACTGCCACAACAGGTACTGGGCTGGAGTCCCAGGCACTTGGAGGCCGAATGCAGACCACGCCAGACCAGTCCAGCGCTATAAAGGACTAGCCAGCCTCCTAATTCGAGAGATACTCATTCGCATGAGAGTGTGGAAGTGCTGAAGGCACTTGTGCGCCAGATGTGATTGAGCTGCACTAGGCCTGAGAGCTGCGCTGAAGAGAGAAAGAGTTGGGCACTAGCTGGAAGAAGGGCGGCCATAGCTGTGTCAGTGCCAGTTACTATTTGTAGTAGGGATAGTTAGTAGAGAAGACCAGTGAGTAGTATTCAGAGCAGATCCTCATGTGATAGGGAGTGTGCATGCATGATGAGTGTGAGTAGGTCAGGACTATAGTCGAAAGGAGAGAGAAGAGGGACCAGAAGAGAAGAGAGAGAATTGAGCTATGGTGAGATTTACCTGTGAAGCGCTGTATTTGGTGATTGGCTGCTGGCGCTGAAGAGCGCCAGGCCTGGAACTCTTGTTGGATGAAGAAGACTTGTAATTCTGTTGGGCGCTATACATTTTTGAACTCGTGATTCTCTTTCTTTAATCTGGTTATGATAATTGAGTTGCGCTTCCTGGTTTCCACTCATCTTTCATTGAATTTCGTGTGAGACATTGCAATCTGTGTGACCTGTGTTATATGCATGCTGTCTGGTACACTCCAGAAAGTGACGAACGGACGGGTTCCTTGCAGCATGACTGCCCTGTCTCTCTTCTCAATCCTAAATCTCTCCGAATCTGAGACCTATCTACCATCTACTTCTAGTTCCAAACTGAGCAACTGTCTTTCAGGTCTGCGCTGCATGTCCTAGGTCCTCCGTGATTTTTTCACCTTTGCACACATGCGAGGAGAGGACGTGGCGCTAGTGCGCAATGTGTGAAAAGACACATGAGAGAAGATCCAACATCACCGAGCAAACATACAACTCAATGCCAAGCCCTAGATGCATCTTCAAACAGCAAGCTGAAATAATATTTCGGGTTCCTATCAGTGCCCAATTACAAAAATGCACTCCTTCTTTCCCGTGCACCGAGGGCGGCCCCACCCTCCCCGCCAAAAGAAGTATATCTTTGTCCGTGGAGTCCCACAGAGTTCTCACAATTGAATTCACAAACGTCTTTTCTTTTTCTTTCTTCTCTTTCTGAGACAGCAAAACACAACAGAAAAAGAATTGTGCTGCACCCTAGAAGCCTTGTGCTGGTATGAGACTGTGCTAGAGCCCCTGACCACCCCAACAGTGGACCTTCACAAGGGATGTTTCGTTTGAAAACATTAAAAAACAACAACAATAACAACAACAATAACAACAACAACAAAAACAACAGAACCCAGAGAAATAAAAATGCATTATTGAGCACACTTTTCCGATGTAGAGTGGCACATCATGAGATTTGAAGATAAAACATCGACAAGCACGCATGAGGGAGGGAAGGTGGGAGAGAGCCATAGAGCGAGATAAAGGTATGAAAGTATGTAGGGGGAGACAAAAGGAGGAAGGGAGGAGGGAGTGGAGAAAAGGGAGGAAGGGAAGAGGGAGTGGAGAAAAGGGAGGGAGGAGGGAGTGGAGAAAAGGGAGGCATGGAGAGGAGAAGAGGGAGGGAGGGAGGGACCTCCATTCTCAACACAAGTGCCGTGTCAAGATCATGGTTGGCCTTTGCTTCAGCAGCTCGTTTTTCCGCCTTTCTTAGTCTGCGAATGGTTTTAGATGCCTGTGATGTTGGATCCTTCCCATCATCCTCTTCTCCAAAAAGCCCATGACCAATCAAGCCCTGTGAAAGATTGCTCTGAGGTGTGCTTGATGTAATCCCATCCTCAATTGTCACTCTGTCTTGCCTGTTATTGGGTCCAGCACCCCCGCTCTGTGTGGAACTCTTCTGATGAGCACCCCCACTTCCTCCTTCCGAGTGGCTACTCAATCTCTTCTGCTGACTGCTACCAGCAGGATGGTCTGCAGACCCCTCTGCTTTACTGGCCCCTGGCTTTGCATTCGAAGGCCGCCTTACCGCACTGTCAGTGGGAGGTGAACTCTTCGCCGCATTGGGATGCAAATTATCACCTTGGGACGTCTTACGCAGAATACCTCCAGAGGGCTGCAATGACCGCCGACTCGGGATTGCGGGATCATCAGGTGAAGATCCAGGCGACACCGAGGGCCCTGCAACTGAGCTCGAAGGTTGTGGGGACCAGCTGGGCACAGAGCGGTTTATAGATGCAATAGTGTTGTCAATCAGGTCAGGCGGTAGTGCTGCCATTCGTTGGCTCACATGCTGAGGACTCAAGAGAAGGCCCTCGGCGGAATTGCGATCAATACGCTCAAGAAGATGAGAAGGGGTGGCATCACTTTGTTCCAGAAGCAACGAAGGTTGCGTGCTACCCCAGTCGTCCTTGTGCACTCTTGTTGGGGGATTATCTCTTGCATCTGCTGAGTCTCCAGCTGCTGCCTGTTGTGTGGAGCCCATGAGGATTGAGACCCGTTTCTTTGAAGCGGTGGAAGTTGAGGAGCTCCGCCGACTGGGTTCCCCAGCTTGCTCTACAGGGTGACCTGATACCGACAATTGTCCTTCATAAGGCCTATCCTCAGATATGGAAACAGACTGTCGCTTCCGCTGTTCAAGGCTTGAGGAAGAAGCTGCAGACAATCTGCGCTCACCTTTCTTACCATGCTGATCTGCAGCAGTAAAACCAGAAGATGACCCCGATTCTCTTCTCCCAGTTGGATCCCCTGGAGATGACTGTGATCCACCTACTCGTTGCGACAAACGTCTTGCATCTGTGGGTTCGGACGAGTGGCTTATACTACTAAATCGACGATTGATGGACATTCTAGGCGAGACGCCAGGTTGTGCCTCTGACAAATGACCTTCCATTTGACTCTGCTCATGGGCTTGCGCTGCAAGGCTCGCTTCAAGGAACATGAGCATTGTAGGGTCCCCCTCAACAATGGAGGCGCGAGGACGATGCTGGCCCCCACCAGGATCTCCAGCTGTTTTTTGTTGTTCACAAGGGGTATTCAGCCAATGCAGGAAATGGACAGACACGAACAAGCACCGTCATTCAACTAATTAGCATCAGTTAAGCCACCAGTGTGAATCTCCAACACAGACTTCGCCCTATTTTTATGATCCGCACCAGTATCTCAGACGGTTGCCAGTGGTACCTGGCACTCCAAGTCGTCAGGCCCTAGGTTCACTTCGTTCTCATACACTCTTTCTTGAAGTTTCTTCTAATTAAAACGGCAACGGCCTTGAGATATCATCTTTGAACTGACCAGCCCCAGGTAAACGCAGAGGTATACGCCGGACACCGGACCAGATCCAGACGCCGGACGCCTAACCTCCCAGTCATCTCCGGACAACCAGAAACCCGGAATATTCTGGAATATCCGGACCGTTCTGGATGTCCGTCCAGATGCATGTATTTTCCGGGGGAGGGGGCGGGTGGGGGGGGGGAGGGAATCGTGGGGAGAATGCTATATCTCATTGGTGTACCACGACTGAATTATGCCATTGCCTTTTTGCCAGCGGCCACTGAGAACAGAACACATGGGACCCACCAACCGCGGAGGGCTGAATTGTGCCGTTGACCTTTTGTGAACGGCCACAGTGACTGGAAACAAACTAAACAAAATGGAGCACATAGGACCCGCCAAGTGGCAAGGAGAGAGAAACAGGGGACAGATAATCCATGGATCTGTTGCATGCGCCTCTTCTGACAGGCGCTCATTGAAATGACACAGTCATACCCTTCTGACAAAAAAAAAAAAAAAGAATTAAAATTTAAAAAACGAAAAAAAATCAGTTTTCTTTGGACGGCGGGCATAGGGCTTCAATCCACTAGCACGAAAGACCAAAAAATTGGCAAAAATATAGTGGTGTATCTTCCCATGTTCTAGCCGAAGATTCATTCTCATTTTGCGCATTTGGTGAGTAGTCGAGCAAGACCCGAAGTCCCCATAATCATTGCAGGAGCCCATTCTGATGGGCGCAGTTTTCTTTCTGAAAATAGGATCTACGTTGTTCTTTTTTCTTTTTTTCAAATGTCTTTTGTTTTGGGGGAAACGTACGAAGCACCCTATTCTAAGAAGATACGGGCGCGTCTGAATGTGTACAGTAACGGCCTTCTGCAAAAGACAAAACTAAAAAGAGGGTGCTTTCCTTTGAAACGAGGCGGGGGCGGGAAAAGAAAACAGAGGGGAGGGAGGGAAAGGCAAACTTAGGGCCTCCTTCCTGCCCTGCCTGGATGCCAAGCAGGACCCTTAAAAAATCGCCCAGGATTTTTCTGTGGCAGCCCAGGATGGAAGAAAACGACCTGGGCTGCCAAAAAGAGAAAAAGGGCTACCCCCGATTTTCCGACCATCCACACCAGGATCCGGAAACCTGGACCGAACGCCGGGACTCCGTTCGGTCCGGATCCCTGTCCGGGTGTCCGGACCGTAGCTATGATTTTTACGCATCTGATTCCATTGGAATTCGAGCTCAGGTCTGTGTTTCAACAGTTGCCACCACTTGTTAGGTGTACCATCTGGATTAGACCAGTGGATTAGTTCTCAACTTCTCATAGAATTTTATTTATTTATTTATTTATTTATTTTTAAACAAAAACAAAAACACAGCTCCTTCTGTTCTGGGAAGTGTCAGTCCAGTTCCTTTTCCACCGGCAAGTCAATGACAGATTACAACCCAATTCACACTACCCCACGTTACGGCCTGGGGAACCTCGACAGCATTGATTGTTTCCCTCTGGGAAGGATTGACTGCCAGTCCAGCCCATTTTCTTGAGCGTAACCCCTCCCAACATCATTTTACCCTTTCCAAGAAACCTACTTCAAACCATGACAAAACTAAAACCAGTACGACCTTCAAACCACCCCTCCGCGTCTTTCCGCCTTAAACCCCTAAGCCCTTGCCCTGCACAGCCTACAATGTTGCATTCTCGAGATTGCTGCCTACTGCGATTTGGTTTACTCCCTGATATGAATGCTTGTACTTGTGCTCCTTGGAGGGTCCCCTGAATCCTGCTTCCCCCTAGTTTGCCTGTTTCCCTCCCCCTCAAGCCCTTAGCTGTTGTCTGTCACTGGTACGGGTTGGCTTGGTGATACTGGCCACCGGGGGTGCCGGGGTGGGCCGGGGTGCGGAGGCTGTCTCTTATACACATCTAGATGTGTATAAGAGACAGCCACAACAGCCCCTGTTCCACCCAGATGAGTATGTTTTATGATTCTGGTTGTCTGTTGTCTGAAGACCAACACTCACTCACATAGACTTCCAGGTATGCCCATACATACACAGAAGGAAGGGGAGAGGATAAGAGTATCACACCGCGCTAGGAGAGATAAACACAGCGGAAGACTTGACCATGGGATATGACAGGGTACACTGAAAGTGCCATTCACTCCACTCAGTCCTCACAATCAGTCATAAAGGAAAGCCGAGTAGATCACATCCAAGAAACAATGAAGCAAGGATAGTCTGAACCCAGTGTCAACACTATTTATCATACTCAGAGTCTCGAATTGTCAGAATAACTTCAGAACTATGATGCGCTGCTCAGAGATGAGCAGCGCNGGGGCACCCCCGCGGCGGGGGTCCGGGGGTCAAACCCCTACCCCGGCTTTGCCCCCGGGGGCCCCCGCCTGACAACCCTGATGGTTGCCACCCTCCGTTTTCTCGAGCCGTTTGCTCGAACCGGTTTCTTAATTCTTGGGCTTCCTCCCGATTCTGTAGGAACCGCCTCCTTACCCTCTTCCATGGTGCCCAAATGTCAGTCTCTAGGAGGTTTGGGTAGATGTTTTGTGCCTCGTGACTATGCATTAGCCTCTTCTTGATCTTTTGCTGGCATCTCCTCTTCCGACTAGTCCAGAGGGCATACTGCCTTAATAGTTGAAAGGTTCTCTTCTCATATCCCTGACACAACCTCGGTATTCGAAGATGGAGGAACTACCCCAATAGTGAACTGATTTTCCACACTCCATGTTTTATCCATGATACAAGTTGGCTCATCCATGATTCGAAGTGGCTCTCCATCTTCCGTGTTTTATCGATGGAGAGCCAATTCGAATCATGGATGAGCCAATGCGTATCATGGATATTCGAAGATGGAGGAACTACCCCAATAGTTCTGACCTATGCACAGTCTGCTCAAATAACGAGCCAGAAGACATACTTCACTGCCTAATACGCTGTAAGGAAGCGACGGAGTACTAGGCCTAGGATGAGGCGGTCTAATCATATATTTATTCTTTAAGGCAGGTTGAACGTACCCCTAGGATGGGGCGGTTTAACCTTATGCCAGGTATAAGGGTTTAATTTAACTGAGAGACAAATGAACTACATGTTTGATAAACGACTTAAGGGTTTGGTGAGAGATGTGATCGTGCTCACTTATGTATGCTTTTTGGGTTTATCTTTTGGGATATTCTTTTGATAGCTTAGTCGCTTTAGATGCTCGCCAAGTGTTGCAGCTATAGGTAGGTAAGATGGATGATGGGAGGGAAGCTTGGGATAAGATAGGACTGACCTTACTAAAAGTTAGGACTAGTGCTAGCTCACGATACCATCCTCAAAGAAGGATCGTGTAGACTATCTCCATACCATCTTCAAAGAAGGATCGTGTAGACTATCTCCA